TACACCCTGTCACTCAAGTGGGTCTAAAACTGACCGTATGGTGAAAGAAAGGAAAATAAATAAGTTGTTTCAATTAATTTGCACAAGGGAGTAGCTTTAGGGGATTTAGTAAAGACTATAATCTTTGCCATACATATTTTATGTGGTTTAAATCTGGTGAGTACGGCGGGGATGATCAGTCGAGTATCTGAAAGCAAGCCCAGTGTTGATGGGACCAGCTCCCTGTTACACGCGCTTTCCAGTGGCAATATTATCTGGCACAGTCGATGAATACGAAATTTTTTTTTAAAGAATTTCACCCCAAGCAAGGCGGGAGTGCTAATAGCACGCAAGGGGTTACGGAAAGTGAGAGCAAGAAGAAAGAGGGGTGTTTGAGGAATGGATATAGAGAAAGACGGGGATCGGGATCAAGGAATCAGAAGATGTCGATTGACATTACATTTGAATATTTGAAGATTATAGCTCTCAGGGAAGCAAGTAAGAGGAAGGGAGTTCCACTGTCGGGAAGTGCGAGAGTAGAAGCTGTTGGAGTAGAAGAGGCGGTTATATTTAACTGTTTCGTCAGTGAAAGGGTGGGACCGATATGCCAACCTAGTAGAACGCTTAAATTCATGAAGCTGGGGTACCAGTGAAAGTAGCTCGTCAGAGCAGTTGTCATGAAAATATTTGTAGAAAAGCCAGAGGGAAGCCACATGACGTCTGTAAGAAAATGACTGTAAACGAGATGCCAGATTTGGACCTATAATATTGCATATCCGTCTCTGGATTTTAATACATTTTATAGTGTGTACGTATGTTTGAGTAGACATCTCTTTCTTTGTTAACCGTAAAATTAATGTCTGCCGGCCTAGAGACCGAGAAGTTCTACCAAAGGAAATGTGCCCCGAACCCATGATAAAGCATGGCACAATTACCCAATTTAAGAAAAGCATATCACTCGTTGGAACATTTCAAAATCTATACCTGCTAACTTTATTGTCGTACACAGAACGTAAAGTAATTTTTAAGCTGTTGATGGATTTTTTTAATCGGACATTATTTTTATTATTGTGAACTATTTAGTCAAACGTATTTGAAGTTTTTGTTTTGTGAGCAGTGAAGATAATGTCAATCGACCTAGATATGGAGAGGTCCTATGAAATAATGTGCCCCCACCCGGACAGGAACACAACCGCTATTCCTGATGTGCCCCCGGATAGCAACTTATTCTCTATTTTTTTTCTTCCATAAAAGGGGGACTACAATTAAGACACGTGCGTCTTACTAACTATTCGCTGTTGAAAAAGAAACAGGAGTTCGAATCAAGCAGGTGTACCAACTAAATATATCGTTTACAGTAATAATGAATTTTATAGTGTACAATGTTGTGGTGTGAAGCCCGACCAGTGAATTGTGATGTGATTTGGTTTAATGTCCCTCATTTGTTGGATACTTATCATTATTCTCTGTTACCTGAACTGCTGCTTTCGCAACGACTTTGGGTGACCGTAATTTCCACATACCGCTGATATCTGGTTGGAATTTTACCCTTGATAATGTTGTTACAAAAAAAAAAAAAATAAAAAAAATAACAAAACAAAAAAACAAAAAAAAACGAGCAGTTTCCACTATAGTGCCTATCTTTCTGGCCACAATACTCATTCCATGGTCAAACAGAATTAAATCCTGTCCTTATTTCATGATTGCCACAGCTACACTACATCTTTACATATTTTTCTTGATCTCAATTACTATCTTGCCTAATAGTTTTTTTTTTCACATAGTCTACTCCTAATACAACGTCATTAGTATCGTATCATATTAAGATTATCTTCGCCGATAATACATCCTGCTAGGACTTTCAGTTCTTTTAGAATCGTCTCGTCTCATAGAGGAATCTGCATTACGTTGAAATATTTTCACGCTTTCAATGTCAACTAATAACAAAAAAAAAAAATTCCGCATCTGACTAACTGGAGCTTTAAGAAACACTTGTGTAGCGTAGGTTCAGTCCATATTGTGTTCCTCTTTATATTTATATTAGTTAAAAGCAGGCCTCCTTGGAGAATGTAAATCATCACTTTTTTTTCCTCAAATAGTAGCTCATTTACCGAAAATCTGCTCTGAATCGTAAAAAAATGCGATCAAACTAAAACACTATTTAATTAGAAAACCTTTTGTAATTATGAATACGATATATTATGGACACTATTGTCTTAAAATAATTTCGATAAAAATGAATTTTTACAAGAATTGTTTTCTTTTTTTAAAATTTTAATTAGAATAATTTATAATGTTTTAAATCTTTTAAGTTTCTGTAATGGGTTTTTAAATTTTTAAATTTTTTTGTAATGGTTAGGTGATATTTTTATTAAGTAAAAATTACATTTACTCATCATAAATTGAAAAGCTTAGTACACATCATCACGTACCAATATTTTTAAAAGAATTAAAAAAAATATATATGTATAAACATACTCATTTTCTATTATACAGCAAACCATACGCGACATTATTAAAATATCAGAGTGATAACCACAGCAAATTTACCGCCAAAAATATTTAAAATTCAAGTAAACAGTAGATTACGGATAATTTTTTCTTAATTCTTTAAAATTAATGAATACTTAAAAATTATATATAGAAAACGTTCACGTTAACTCAATTACTTTTTTTAACTCCGAAAGCCCCCATGGCACAACATTAGATAAATATCAAGCTGTCAAACCCGCGAACCCCTTAAATAAACAGCTACTTTCCCTTTTTTGATATTTTAAAGTAAATAATAGTTGTTTCAAATCATATTAATTATAATTTAAATTAGCTAATATTTCCCAAATAAAAGTAAATTTCATTTTCGGAAGATATTTTAATAAAGAAAATTACATTGTAATGAAAGACGAATAAAAAGTTAAGCGAAGACATACGTTATGGAAGTGGGGAAATGACTGAAGCTAAGATGCCAGGTCAGGACAATTAATATTGCGGATTATTCTCTGGATTTTATCAAGAATCTCTAAATGTATAGCTGGATAAATCATAATGATCACAGATGTGCTTGTCATCAATAAACATATACTAGTAAGTAAATTTTTATACGAAAATTTAAACATGGCGACTGTTCACTCCTTTCGAATACAACAGCAAATATTTCTCAAATAAAGCTCCAGAAAATTAAATTTCATTTTCGGAAGATATTTTAATAAAGAAAATTACATTGTAATGAAAGATGAATAAAAAGGTTATAATCAATAGTTTTAGCAAAAGAAAAAAAAAAACAAAAAACTTCTAGTCAATTTAAATTAGTGTCATATTAGTTTTTGAAATACACTAAAGTATTTTGCTTATTCTAAATATTAAATTAAATCTAGCTTGGCATTAAAACTAAAATAAAAGCTTTAAGAAAGATTTATCATTTTTTTAAATTCATTTTAAACCTTAGCTATCACGGTCTATTTTTGTTATACTTTTTGAGGTACCTAGAAGACATGGTTGAATGTAGCAGATGCAAATTTCGAGACGCCGGGCGCATCGGGTAATGTATGGCGCCAAACACTAGGTTTGGCGTGTATCCATCGGAAAATGTTCGATTTGAGGAGCTCTTTCGCTTTCAGAATATAATATAATCTATCTCTATTTCTGAGATGAGGTATTATGTACACTATTTACATTATTCGGACTATTGTCCTCATCTTTACTACCATATTTATCACAACGTTTCGGCCGTTGTACGCTCCGGTCTTCTTCAGTATCTGTCTATATTTCTGAGATGAGGTATCATGGACACTATTTACATTATTCGGACTATTGTCCTCATCTTTGTTGCCATATTTATCACAACATTTCGGCTGTTTTACGCTCCGGCCTTCTTCAGGTTGTTGGAATGCCGAACTAAGGGCAGATGGCACAGTGGATAAAGGCGGTGCTTAGTTCCAGTGATAGAACCCAAAGAGTTGTGAGTTCAATACCTGGTTAAGGCAGTGGAGAACTTGGACAGGGGAATTAACAGGAGATAACTGATATCCATTTGACATGACACGTGGAACTGGAACAGTCTGCACCAGCGAGCGAAATAAAGGGTTCAGTTCGACATTTCAACCACCTGAAGAAGGCCGGAGCGTACACACACACACACACACATATATATATATATATATATATATATATATATATATATATATATATATATATATAAGAGGATAGAATCCAGGTAGAATTCAATGTCCAGGGCAGTGTAAAATATCATATAAAAGGCTCAAACATAAATATTAATTAATTTTTGAATTTTTAATATTTTTTTATTGTTCAATATATATATATATATATATATATATATATATATATATATATATATATATTAATGCATGTTTCATTAAATAATATAGACAACTTTTGTATTAATTTTAAGTAAGTTCCTTTCATATTGTCTGATAAGCTTAATCACATTATCATTGAAAGACGAAAGGAAAACACCATATTGATACATGTTTAAATCCAATCTAAGCTTTCGGCTTACATTAGCCATTATCAAAGATGACAATTTCAATAAATCAAACAACACACAGACGAAACCACAATGATAGTCCACCCATACTGCTTGAAAAATTTCAAAGTATGTCAGTACTTTTAAATGTATATTCTACGATATCTTTGCTAGCATTCCAAAATCACAACAAAATTCCGATCACCAAACAGTGTCTCGTTTCAAGGGTTACCGATAAGAGGCTGTGAGCTTTTAAGAAGACAAAAAAACCCCAAAACAACAACAACAAAAAACAAAACAAAAAAAACGAAAAAAAAAAACCAAAAATACAACAAACAAACAAACAAACAAAAAAAAAAAGAATTTATATTAATGATCGCGAAACATCATTTTAATTTATCGCTTTAAAGATTTTTCTTTTTTTGTTTCGTTAAAACTAATTTTACTGCGATACTAGCGGATAATGTCGACTGCACTTTTGGACACAGACATTTTTTTTGTGGCTAGAAAACTATACACAACATAAAGAAAGTTATTGATGCAACAATTAAGCTTTCATATTGCGTTTGTATACCGCGCTCCCCGACCGAAACGAGAATATATCTGTGAGGGGAATTTCTCTAGTGCAAGAAAATTAAGAGGGAATTCGTTGATAGTGTGGAATTTATTTTATATAAAAAAAAGTGAAACACTAATAAAATTACGAAGAAAAACAAATATAGGAATTTTCATTATACGTAGGGAATTTGTCAGCAGCCCACTTTAATCTATTCCCTATCTGCTTGCAACATCTATCTATCTCAGTCTGTTCACATCTATCTATCTATCTATCTATCATGAATAATCAAGAGTGGTTTTCTCTTGTTTTGTTACTCACCTCTTTAAGAGAGCTATTTATGTTTACTGGGACTATAAAAGGACACTATCCGCGAACCATGTATTCTCAATTGAATAAAGCTTTCTTAAAGCCTACACCTGCGTACTTTTCCCATTACACTATCTATCTATATCAGTCTATTCCCATCTATCTATCTATCTATCTATCTATCTATCTATCTATCTGGCTTACAGCCATATCACGTTGAAACACATGTCTTGTATGACCATCGAAGTTAAGTAACGCCCAAACTGGTCAGTATCTAGATGGGTGACCGTTTCGGAATACCCGGAGCTTGGATATGCGGGTGGTGTAATGGATAACAACTCGGAAATCTATATATCACAATCTGTTCTATCTATCTATCTATCTATCTATCTATCTATCTATCTATCTATCTATCTTATTCTACGAGATAGAGGAGTCGCAACGTGAATACATGTCTGTTACCTGGCTAAATATAGTCTTTAGTGATTTAATTGTTTAATGCTCCATACCTGAGTTCAATGAACATCGGAAACTACTTCTTTTTTTCCCCTTTTTCCTGAAACTTTATTGGTTGGGTGATAATCGATCGAAGAACTTGTGGTCAAATGCAACAATAAGAAAACGACTCGCTGAGAATTACCGGTATTTGTTTTCATTGCCTGTTGATTGTTAACATGTAATCATTTCTTTCGGACCCCATTTTACTTTGCTTAACGTTTTTTCATTTCTTCTTCAAACGAATTGCGTGTCGCACTCTGTCCAAAAACTATTCTCTTCTATGTGCCATAAAACTACGTATTAGCTTCCCCTTAACTCTATAGTAAGAAGTGCAGAGATTCGAACCATTTTTATTTAATTTTCATCTTGAAGCCAGAATTCAGAGAGGATTGAAGAAAAGATACCCTTTCTATCGCTTCAGTTGATTCTTCAGGCTGCTGGGGGGGCAAATCTTCTTCTTTTAACGGCATTCACCCGGGGTGGGTTGAGCCGGCTCCAATATTGGAGTTTCATGGGAATTTGGAATTCACAAGCGGTCCCCAAACCCGCATGTATAGCAGATGAGATTTGATTATAGTGGTAAAGGTTTTCTGCAGGACCATCCACTCTTTTTGAAGGGCTGATTACAGAAACCTGGTGCACTACGCGCCACAAGGTCCCCAAACGACCCACCGCAGGTTTTAAATTCAGAGTTTTCCTTCTCCTAGACCAGTTGCAATCCAAGGCTATAGAACCCAGTCTGTCCTGCTATTTACCCATAGCTGAAGAGAGAAGAGGATTCATTTCCCAAGGGTATTAGCACGTAAGTGAATGTAATGGATTCGACTGGAATCTCCGAGTCCTCAATCCAAGCCGCTATCCATTACTCCACCGTGCCTCCTCTAATCTCTGATTACCTCAGTTCAATAAACCTCTGTTGATAAGCGGTTCAAAAGACTACTTTTATTTCTACTTTTTATATATTCTAATTGAATATATTTTAATTCCTCGTTTGTATTTATTTGATTCCTTATTCCTTAAATAAACCAGTTCCTGTTATTAGCGCACAATCGTATTTTTCTTTTGTGCAGTGTTGCAGCTCAAACCAGACACTAGAGTCGTACTCAGAATGTAGCGTCTTCCACTCAAACGTTTGTGGCTTAAAAATAACCCTTTCACCATATCGTTACCCACGTATTAAAACCATGAGAGTTTATAGCAGTAAGCAGATTTTATTCTCGGATTATAACCACCTGCTCTCGACGAGCAAAGCCGAGATGAAGCGAAGGTGAACAGTCTAACAGATGTCTTCCCTTTCCGATCGATGCGAGGCTATATTCTCGTTACTCTGTGTCACTTTGCTTTTTTCGCCGGTAGTGACCACTGTCTTATATTGTTCTTTGTCTTGTCATCTATAAAAAGTAATTTATCTTCATTCAGTGATCTTTTTTGACCGAGTTGTTTGCCATGTACTTGTGAAGTCTACTTCACTTAGCTGATTATCATCGGGAAAATAAATGTCTGAAAAAATTTTGTGACATTCCAGTTGTTTTCCATTCAATAAGATATCAGCTGACACTGACATTTATAGTTCAACTCATGCGTTCTCCTGTTACATTTCTCTGTAAACATGGGATTCTGTGGGCAATGAAGAAAAGTGTTGACCACCAATGCTTATTTACGATTCTTCCCATTACTGAGTTCCCAGTCCTTTAACATAACATGTCGCATGATGGACACTAAAACAAACAAGCTGATCGCTGATGAGGAGTGTGGATATGATGGATTATATTTAGATTAAAATAAAAAAAACTGAAATCAGGTTTAACATTTATTTTCAGTGTTTTATCGTAAACAAAATCGTATCAAAATTTTGTCGTAAACAAAATAAACTAATAGTGAGTGAAATATAGCAGAACTGATTTCAAGGTAAAAGAAATAACTTATGTAATGTTAATGAAAATTCATTAAATTAAGTATGCCATGTATACAAAAGAAATAATGTAACGAGGATTTTTTAATCGTTGTTGCATGATGATTCTTTCTCTTCTAATGGCATTCTCAAATTTTTCCACATTTCGTTTTGCTTTTGTTCTTGAAATTTTTTAAACGAAAGACACTTTTTAACTCAGTTTAACTTGTGATGAAACCTGAACTGAAATTAAAAAAAAAGCTATTGAAAAGGTTGTCAGTTTTATGGAAAGAAAGCCAGCATTCAGCTATGACGATTGCAATAATTCACGTAGAGTTATGCAAATCTGAGATAGAAAACATCTATTAATTCTTCATTTATATAAAGTATTTGTTGATTTTAAGTGGCATACATAGTAGATGAGGGTTTTCTCTTCATGTAGAGATAAAATGGGAGAAACTTAGGCTAAGTAGAAGGCAGGTCCAGAATATAGGAGCTACCGTAGTCGGACATGAATGAAAACACGAGCTCTGTATTTAAATGTTCGTATCAGATATTTTACAGTTTTTTGATCGGGTCGTCTACTAAACCGGTTCCCTCACTCGGATTTCCTTGTAAAGAAGTTGGCTAGGCACACATCAAGTTTAAAAAGCAAAACCTGTCAAAGGGTAAACGAACCTTATATTCGGGTCTAAGGCCATTTAGCATAATGGGGTAGACTGGACTCCATAGCTACGCATGCAGCCAGTGCAATGTTGACACAACATCGCTAGGAGATGTGCTTCATAGACTGAAGTCAAGGGCCACAGCAGAGATTTCTGCCGATGAAATCAACGGTCACGGACAGCCAAATCAGCTTTGGATATGAATGCAGATACCGGAATCGAGGTTCCATATGCATATTAAATATATTTTTAAAAAAAATGGTAAACGAGTTTACATGAATGGAAGGGAATGGACAAAGAGTGGTCGGAAAGGATAACCAATTAAAAGAATTGAACATTTAAAGAGAAGTCAAGACTATACAGATGACAACATTACCGAATATCGGCTAAAACAACAGGGTGGGGGTGGGGGTCACTTTATCTCTAATGAAATTTGCCATTTAATACGGATTTGAAGATTCACAAAATTGATAAGAGTAGACTTGGAGAATTTGACACTCACAGGGCATATCCAGAGCAAATGGGACAAAGGCAGGCAGCGATGCAACTACGTGATGAGCTTGTGTGAATGGATGCCAGAAAAGTACTGAAAGTCACAACAAAAGAGATAGACATTGCTAAGGGCTACATACTAGGAAAAAATACATCACAAAATCTGAGATAATGTATAACAATACAGTTTCCGCCATTTTTTTCTTTTTTCACTTGAAATAATATAGAGTGGCCCAAGTCACCAAGGGATATCAACATTTAATTATTGCTTTATTTTTTAAAAATTTAATTCACAATACCATTGTAGTATACAGGGTGTCCATAAAGTTCGTGTGCATTTAAATAAATTTATAACTTTATTTGTATTTGCGATAGAAATAATCTGTAAAAAAAATACTGGGACGATTATCTTCATAATAAAATGTATGCAATCCAGTTGAAAGTAAGTAATACATCTTTCTGGAAGTCTTGAAAAGAGGAGGTCGCTTGAGCAGTGGACAAACGAGAATAAACCGCGAAGCATGTAAAAGACTTGAAAAATGAAAACCGTTAATCATTTGTTGACAGTGGCCAGAACTAGTTATCTCAAGGCAGCAATTTTACAATACTGATAGCATGTTTGAGCTGTTCTTCAAGAAGGCAAATATGGATGATATACTCTCATTTCTTGATATGTCCCGGAAAGGTATATATTTGAACGAAGTAGCTAAGTGGTTTTGGCTACTATAACCAAGTATAATACGGTAGCAGTAATCGACTGGTACGCGTCGTAGTCGCAGGTAAGAAGTGTAGATCAATGGCGTAGTCCAATGGGCGTCGTTATAGACTTAGCTCTCAGACTAAGGCTCTTTGACTCTGTCGTACCTACACGTCCGTCGGTATTTATGACGGATACCAGCCAATCATATTCCAGTGAGGGGGAACACAGGTGTCTGCATATTCCATTATATTATTTCTAAAAGTGGTCGTCGGCCTCTAAAAGAAAATATGAAATAGAGAATAACGATAGAACAAAGATAAAAAAAAATTAAAAACTATTACGAAGCCAGACTCTTGATAAAAAAAAAACTATTTGCAGAAATACAACTAGGAAACCGGATATGTAGAGAATAAATATTGCTCGCAATTCTTTATTGAAAAAAAGAATAATAACAACAATATAATTGTCTATCAACAGAAGCCCACTTTGCAAAAATGTTAATGAAACCTGATTTACAAAGTGATTTCGTCACAAAGAATACATTTTTTATTCATTTATATATATATATATATATATATATATATATATATATATATATATATATATATATATATATATATATATATATATATATATATATATATATATATATGAATATATATATATATATATATATATATATATGAAGAAATAAATTGTAAGGTGTGCTATATTTATGGGATAAAGTGCTCAATATCAGAGATAAAGCGTATGTAAATACAAATATAAAAGTGAACATTGAAGTCAACACCCAGAGGCGACAGGCTGTTTCATGCTAGACGCATCCATCAGGCCGCGAGTGTTGGATTTTTTGTCGACTATTTATATATATGAGTCAGTGTGAGTTGTGGGTAATCTATTGTAGCGGTTATTTAAAAGCTTTAATTATCTTCACATACCAAAACATTTAAAAGCTTTGACTTCCCAGACCAAAGCAAACTATTAAATAAGCGACCTAAGCAAGCCCGACAATCTTTTTTTTTACTACGTTAATAAAACATAGAAAAGAATAAATAAATATATAAAATAAAAAAATGAAAACCAAGTAAAATAAATTAATCGAAACAAATAAATGAACTAATAAATAAATAAACAAGTCAGTCCCGCCAAAATAACCGCCAGAATAGATTACCCACAATGCGCCACTGACCCATATATATATAAATAGTCGAGAGAAATCAAACACTCGCAGCCTGACGATTGCGTCTAGCATGAAATAGCCTGTCCCTTCTGAGTATTGGTTTCAATGTTTACTTATATATATAATTATTTATTCGAAAATTATAACATAAACATGTTATAAAATCACTACAAAAATTGCCATTTTGTTTCAACGCTTCTGGTGTCTTATCAAGTGATGGTGTTGAATGTAGAATAAAGGGTTTTAAAAGGTTCAAATCAATCAAACATCCCTCCTGAGGGGAAACGCTGTTACATAAGCTGCAATGACCAATCAAAATACAAGTATATGAGAATTCATAAACTTGACAAGGTTATAATAATTATTTAATGCTTTAATGTCGTGGTTAGACTAAAGTAGTATTCATTCTAACTAATAAATATTAAATTATACTATAAAATTAAAAAATAAAAATTACCAATTTTAAATTTAATCCATATTAAGTTTAAAATTATAGTTATTTAAAGAAGAAACCGATAAAAAAAATACATATGTTTTTTTCTATTTATTTTGTTTTGTTTATATATATATATATATATATATATATATATATATATATATATATATATATATATATTGTTGGCATTAAATAATCCTTTTGATGTTGATATCCTATAAGACAAAATAAACCAAACCAATCAACAGTCACGTGTTCGTGAACAAGGCGAGTATTCAACAAGGAGGATTATTTGACCTGGGGAATTATGACCTCCGTCATGTCGAATTGCCTAAGATATGCAATGAATGAATACATCTTTGCATTTCCCAGCCCTGTGAAGAGAAATGGTCAGGTACTGGAGCAACTCAGCCACCCTACAGCCACATCCGGTCCTGGGACTAATAACGATATATTGTTTGCCATATTCTTGTTCTGCTGTATGCCAGGTTGTGGAGTTCTTCGTGGGCACAAAAGTTAACTTCGAAACTGATGTTTACTCATGGGACAACTAATATTTTTTTTCTCAAACCTCCCCTGTAGGGACATCAATTTGGGAACCTATTGAACGATTCACCTTTATTTTTAATTCCTTATTTCTTCAAGGTGAAGAGGTCCCTTTTGGGGATCTAAAATGAACGAGTTGACCATTAATGTTCAGTTGTGGTTCGAATCAATTATTAATGATCAGTTCTGCTATTTCGCCGGGTTTTAATGAGAGCATGTTGACGGCTATAGCTCTTTTTAACTCTTTATTTCTTCAATGTGATGACGTCCCTTTTGGTGATCTAAAATGAACGAGTTGACTATTGATGTTCAGTTGTGGTTCGGATCAATTATTAATGTTTAGTTCTTCTATTTCATTGAGTTTTCATGAGAGTATTTTGACGGCTACAGCTCTTTTTAACTCTTTATTTTATTCTAAGTGAAGGCAAGACTTTTGGGGATCTAAAGTGAACGAGTTGACCATTAATGTCCAGTTGAGTTTCGCTTTAAGTATTAATCACTTCTGTTTTGCTGTTTTTTCAAGTTGGTATCTACACCTCTGTTTTTGATGCATTTTTTAAGCGTGGGACACTAAAAAGTATATTTATTTTCGTCTATAGCCCTGAATGTCCAGCAACGCTGTTCGTGGACGAATCAGTCTAAAACACCAAAGCTTTTCCTGCAAAAGGGGACGAAGGTTCGAATCCTGTCGGATGGCGCAGATTTTTCTTTAATAAGATTCTCGAATGTTCAGGCCGATATATATTATTTAATAAATCAACGGAGGGTCTACTAGAATATGAAGCTCCCTTAATAAACTTTAAATTTATATGATCTTAAGGATTAATAAAATAAAAAAGTCTATTATTTATTTGGAATGAATATAAGTGTGTGTGTGTGTGCATATATATATATATATATATATATATTTATTTAGTTTATGCAAAATTAGGTAATCCGTATGGGTAGACCCAAGGAGGATGATATCCAGAGTACTCAATGTAAATTCTGAGCAGATATATTTGAATAAAAACAGACCACGTTAAGATTCCATGTAATAAGTTATTTCACCACAACCCCTTTAACAGGGCTCTGGATCATCAGACTTTACTTCCAAAGGTTAAAATGAAAAGAAATTCACACGTTTCTGACGGACCGCATCAAGCATATGTAAAAATTAACGAAGTGAGAAAGTGAGGTGGGAGAGAAGATGTACCATTGAGTTAGATGTACCATTATTTATTTATATATATATATATATATATATATATATATATATATATATATATATAAAATAAAATATGCATATAAATGTGTTCATGTGTGTGCGCATATATAGACACATACATTTATATACATATTTTATTTATCAGTTCTTATATATCTATCTATCTGTTACGGATCATTACCTATCTATCTATCTAAGTTCTTATCTATCATCTATCTATCTATCTATCTATCTATCTATCTACTACGGTTCATTATCTATCTATCTATCTATCTATCTATCTATCTATATATCTACCTCAGTTCTTGTCTATGTATGTATCTCAGTTCTTATCTATCTATCTATCTATCATATCATTATCTATCTATCATATCTATCTATCTATTACGGTATCTATCCATATATATCTATCCATCATCTTCTATGGTTCTATGTATGTATCCATCTATTCTTATCTATCTATCTATCTATCTATCGATCTATCTATCTATTACGGTTCATTATCTATCTATCTATCTATCTATCTATCGATCTATCTATCTATTACGGTTCATTATCTATCTATCTATCTATCTATCAATTACCGTTCATTATCTATCTATCTATCTATCTATCTATCTATCTATCTATCTATCTATCTATTACGGTTCATTATCTATCTATCTATCTATCTATCTATCTATCTATCTATCTATCTATCTTATATAATGGGAGACCCAATAAAGAAAATGTGATCGTTCGTACACAGAGAGCATCCCCTGGTCAGTGCAGCTGTGATTTAAAGCCGTGCACCGGATCATACGGTAGTTTTCTACTACAAAGGAGGACGTAGTTTAGAACTTCTGTCGATGAGAAGAATTTATTTATTGGGCCTCGCGAATGCGTAAGTTTGGTAGACCTAATTCCCACTGTTAAAAAAAATCTACTCAAACATGAGTATCCACTAGAGTGACGTTTGAAGTAATAAGAAATAAAATGGGATTAAAAATAAAATATATTAATTCCTGAGAAAATTTGGCTTGAAGTTTGCTTTCAAGCATGAAATAAGCTATTGCCGCTCAGTGTTGAACTTCGTGTTGTTCATTTTTATATATTACCTCACTTTTATATGTTGACCTCATTTTCATTTTTACGCTCTCTCTCTTTGATATTAAACACTTTTACCCATAAATATTGCATGCCTAAAAGCTATATTTTTATCATATATATATATATATATATATAATTGTTTATTCGAAAATTATAACATAAAAATGTTATAAAATCACAACAAAAATAGCCATTTTTTTTCAACAGTTCTGTTTAATTGAGCGTGTGCGTTGTGGGTATATTTTTTTTTAGTTTTATAGAGATGTTTTATTTTTCGAACACCGTTAGCACATTGTGGCCGTGTTTTATTTAGTATTAAGTGTTGGATTTTTCTTTTTTATTATTAAATCTTCCATTATTTTTTATTTTTTAAAGGTGGATGAGGTTATTATGTTTCTATTTTCTACTAGTATGTTTTGGATGGAGTCTGGTAAGATTGCGTGTGTGTTTAAATGGGTTCTAATAGAGCTGTGGTCAGATAGATGTAACGTTAGGCGTCTGGATAGGCATGTAGTTGTGTGACCGATGTAATTATTTATGAATTCGGTTTGATCCGGAACAGCGTTCCTTAAGGGCATTTGAACTCATAGATCATGTTCGTTCGTTGTAATTTTGAATTTGCTGGTGTGTTGTTATTTTTTGAGGATAAGGTTTGCTGTTTTATTTTTTGTAGTAGATAATTAATTTGATATATATATATATATATATATATATATATATATATATATATATATATATATATATATAAAAGTGAACACTGAAGTCAGCAGTCAGAGGCGACATTCTGTTTCATGCTAGACGCAATCGTCAGGCCTGCGTCTAGCATGAAACAGGATGTCGCCTTTGAATTTAATGTTCACTTCAATGTTCACTTTTATATTCATATTAAACACACGCTCTATCTCTGATATTGAGCACTTTATCCCATAAATATAGCACGCCCTAAAACTATATTTCTTATATATATATATATATATATATATATATATATATATATATATGTATGTAGGTATGTATGTCTTGTGCATTTGGGCAGCAATCCTTCTTTTATGCATGTTTCGTTAAAAACGACTTGTCATCGATTTAACGAAACTTGCACACATACACACGCATATATATATATATATATATATATATATATATATAAAACGTACATATATATATATATATATATATATATATATATATATATATACGTTTCACGGCGGAGTTTCTTGACCGCAGAATTGTGAAATCGTGAAGTGCGGTTTACGGTGTATGTCGACCATAAATACAACGAATGCGACAGATTTGGTTCGCTGTATTGATCAGTATAAGTCCCTTCACCATCGCCATCTCAAGTCACCGCCGCCTCCACGACCACTATTCTGTTGGCCCGTTGCCAAAAAAGATACCGTAGGAAAGCTCCAGGTCATGGTGAAGGAATGTACCGGCTCCAGCCAATACGATTAATTGCGTCGGCCTCCATTTTTCTCCATACCTACTCCTCTCCTTTCTACCTTACCTTTCGTGTTCGTTACGTACGCACATAATCATGCATACACAAAGATGTAAACACACTCACACACGCAGATGCACTCCCATACACATACGCCCATTCGAACACACACACATACAAGCACACACAATTAAATCTGCACTTCTAAATACCATATTTTAGACACACAGACACACACATATAAATACACACTTCTATGTTTGCATACATATACATACATACATACATTCATAGACATACACAAGCACATATATTTACACGTACGCACATATAAATACGCACACTTACAAGTAAAGACACCCATAAATATCTACACATACATTTAAGTATGCACATGAGCGCATTCAGATACACAAACCTCGTACACATACACGGATATACGCACGCATTTAAGCATATAGATTTACATGTGTATACACATTTACAAGTACACACATATGCACACACTTATAAGCGCATTTACATGTAGAAACAAACAATTAATCAGACACTTGCAAACACACACACGCTCGAAGACACGCACACACATTCCCATATACACACAAATACACTCAGCTGCACATTCAGATGCACGAAAATACGTATATATATATATATATATATATATATATATATACGGCGCATGTACACACATATATTAACATATAACCAAACTTTTACTCGTACACGCAAAAGCATGCTTTCTCTCTCTCTCTCTCTCTCTCTCTCTCACACTCTCAGGGACATACCTATCTATCTATCTATCTATCTGTTACGGTTCATTATCTATCTATCTATCTATCTATCTATCCTATCTATCTATCCGTTACGGTTCATTCTATCTATCTATCTATCTATCTATCTATCTATCTATCTATCTATCTATCTATCTATCTGTTACGGTTCATTATCTATCTATCTATCTATCTATCTGCTACGGTTCATTATCTATCTATCTATCTATCTATCTATCTATCTATCTATCTATCTATCTATCTATCTGCTACGGTTCATTATCTATCTATCTATCTATCTATCTATCTATCTATCTATCTATCTATCTATCCATTTAAATGTCCACATTCATAGCTGCACACATACGCACACACTTACAGGAAAGTACGCTTTTGCACAATGACAATCACGCACTTACCCATTTACCTTCATGCACACATACACATATACATGCAGGTACATACACGCATACCTTTACATACGTTCACATACATATAGGCAGAAGAAGATACGCTTAAACATATGCGGACATAAATATACAGACAGGTAAAAAGAGTGATACACAAATACACACATAGCAACCAAAGGCCATCTAATTCTTTCACGGCTTCCCCGTCCCCGACATTCTGGTTGTTGTCGTCCATCTGCTCCTTCAGCGATTCTCCCCCCTCCCCCTCACCCCACCCGTGACCACCCGCCCCTCCCGAGTTCATCTATTCACTTCTGTGCCTTTATCGATCCGTCTGTCCTACTGTTGGCATAATCATTGGCAATTATGCCGTATCTACATAGCACTTTTCTGACTTGCATTTCTCCGCCTTTCCATATATCAACGGTGTGATTGTGTATTTTGGAGCACGTGTGTGTGTGTGTGTGTGTGAGAGAGAAAGAGAGAGAGAGAGAGAGAGAGAGAGCAAGACCGAAAGGGAGACAGTTAGAGGGAAAGATTGAGGCGGAGAGTCGAACAGAATGCAGAAACAATTGAGGGAGGTAGATAGAGTAAAGAAATAGTGGAGATGAAGAGAAAAATGGAGTAAATTAAGGTGGATAATAAATAGAGTAGCATTAGTCCTGTGTAGATAGATAGATAGATAGATAGAATGGACTAGATCGATAGATATATAGATACTGTAGTGGATGAAATAGAGAGAGAGATATAGATAGAGAAATATATAGATATATAGATACTGTAGAGAATGAGATAGATAGATAGATAGATAGATAGATAGATAGATAGATAGATAGAATGGACTAGATCGATAGATATATAGATACTGTAGTGGATGAAATAGAGAGAGATATAGATAGAGAAATATATAGATATATAGATACTGTAGAGAATGAGATAGATAGATAGATAGATAGATAGATAGATAGATAGATAGATAGATAGAATGGACTGGATCGATAGATATATAGATACTGTAGTGGATGAAATAGAGAGAGAGATATAGATAGAGAAATATATAGATATATAGATACTGTAGAGAATGAGATAGATAGATAGATAGATAGATAGATAGATAGATAGATAGATAGATAGATAGATAGATAGAATGGACTGGATCGATAGATATATAGATACTGTAGTGGATGAAATAGAGAGAGATATAGATAGAGAAATATATAGATATATAGATACTGTAGAGAATGAGATAGATAGATAGATAGATAGATAGATAGATAGATAGATAGATAGATAGATAGAATGGACTGGATCGATAGATATATAGATACTGTAGTGGATGAAATAGAGAGAGAGATATAGATAGAGAAATATATAGATATATAGATACTGTAGAGAATGAGATAGATAGATAGATAGATAGATAGATAGATAGATAGATAGATAGATAGAATGGACTAGATCGATAGATATATAGATACTGTAGTGGATGAAATAGAGAGAGATATAGATAGAGAAATATATAGATATATAGATACTGTAGAGAATGAGATAGATAGATAGATAGATAGATAGATAGATAGATAGATAGATAGATAGAATGGACTGGATCGATAGATATATAGATACTGTAGTGGATGAAATAGAGAGAGATATAGATAGAAATATATATATATATATAGATACTGTAGAGAATGAGATAGATAGATAGATAGATAGATAGATAGATAGATAGATAGATAGATAGATAGATAGAATGGACTGGATCGATAGATATATAGATACTGTAGTGGATGAAATAGAGAGAGATATAGATAGAGAAATATATAGATATATAGATACTGTAGAGAATGAGATAGATAGATAGATAGATAGATAGATAGATAGATAGATAGATAGATAGATAGATAGATAGATAGATAGATAGAATGGACTGGATCGATAGATATATAGATACTGTAGTGGATGAAATAGAGAGAGAGATATAGATAGAGAAATATATAGATATATAGATACTGTAGAGAATGAGATAGATAGATAGATAGATAGATAGATAGATAGATAGATAGATAGATAGAATGGACTGGATCGATAGATATATAGATACTGTAGTGGATGAAATAGAGAGAGAGATATAGATAGAGAAATATATAGATATATAGATACTGTAGAGAATGAGATAGATAGATAGATAGATAGATAGATAGATAGATAGATAGATAGATAGATAGAATAGACTAGATCGATAGATATATAGATACTGTAGTGGATGAAATAGAGAGAGAGATATAGATAGAGAAATATATAGATATATAGATACTGTAGAGAATGAGATAGATAGATAGATAGATAGATAGATAGATAGATAGATAGAATGGACTGGATCCTAGATATATAGATACTGTAGTGGATGAAATAGAGAGAGAGATATAGATAGAGAAATATATAGATATATAGATACTGTAGAGAATGAGATAGATAGATAGATAGATAGATAGATAGATAGATAGATAGATAGATAGATAGATAGAATGGACTAGATCGATAGATATATAGATACTGTAGTGGATGAAATAGAGAGAGATATAGATAGAGAAATATATAGATATATAGATACTGTAGAGAATGAGATAGATAGATAGATAGATAGATAGATAGATAGATAGATAGATAGATAGATAGATAGAATGGACTGGATCGATAGATATATAGATACTGTAGTGGATGAAATAGAGAGAGAGATATAGATAGAGAAATATATAGATATATAGATACTGTAGAGAATGAGATAGATAGATAGATAGATAGATAGATAGATAGATAGATAGATAGATAGATAGAATGGACTGGATCGATAGATATATAGATACTGTAGTGGATGAAATAGAGAGAGAGATATAGATAGAGAAATATATAGATATATAGATACTGTAGAGAATGAGATAGATAGATAGATAGATAGATAGATAGATAGATAGATAGATAGATAGATAGATAGATAAATGGACTGATGATAGATATATAGATACTGTAGTGGATGAAATAGAGAGAGATATAGATAGAGAAATATATAGATATATAGATACTGTAGAGAATGAGATAGATAGATAGATAGATAGATAGATAGATAGATAGATAGATAGATAGAATGGACTAGATCGATAGATATATAGATACTGTAGTGGATGAAATAGAGAGAGAGATATATATAGAAAATATATAGATATATAGATACTGTAGAGAATGAGATAGATAGATAGATAGATAGATAGATAGATAGATAGATAGATAGATAGATAGAATGGACTGGATCGATAGATATATAGATACTGTAGTGGATGAAATAGAGAGAGAGATATAGATAGAGAAATATATAGATATATAGATACTGTAGAGAATGAGATAGATAGATAGATAGATAGATAGATAGATAGATAGATTGGGCTCGATCGATAGATATATACATAATGTAAAGGATGAGATAGACAGATACTGTAGAGGATGAAATAGGGACATACATATATAGATACCGTAGAGAATGAAACAGATAGATAGATAGATAGATAGATACTGTAGAGAATAAAATAATTAAGTAGATAGATATGCAAAGAATACCTGTTTATCTATCCATCATGAGGAGTAATATAATATCATACATTATATTGTGTTTGTAGAATCATATAGGTCGATAAATAACACTGTTGGATGGCACAGGTAGATAGATAAATAGATAGATAGATAGATAGATAGATAAAAGGGAATGAGATCGTGTTTTAGAAGTGAAATTCAATAGGCAAAGAAAAAATACATAATTAAAAAGAGGAAGAAAATGAAAAGAAGGGAAGAAAATAGAAGTGGATTATATATATATATATATATATATATATATATACATATATATATGGTGGGTGAGAGAGAGACAGATAGATGGAATGGGTGTGATGGGAATGATAATAAAAAGAAAATAGAATCAGTGTAGATATAGAAATCAACAACAACGCATGGTGAATGTCAACTTCCTGTATCAACCTATCATTAAAACATGGAATATTGATTTTTTGTTCACAATATTTATATCCATAAACGCTCTATTAAGCACTCTTGCCTCATGAATACACACACACACACACACACACACACACACACACACACACATATATATATATATATATATATATACATACATATAAATATAGATAACTAGACTCGTTTCGAAAAACCCTCGAATTATTGATTTGCTAATAATCAAATCAATCTCGAGGGAAAAAAAGGTTTTAAAAAAAAGAAAGAGCTACAAACATGAACTTCTGCCGACAAAAAAATCGCACAGATGCAGGTCTGAAGCCCAAAGAAAACACCCCGATACGAGTAACAACTAACTAACAAAAGCGCTCAATACAACCGTAGAGCAGACCTAGATACACCTAGTGAGCCAGACAAACCTACCTAGGTTTCACCTAAACGGATCGTCAGGGAAAGTAAGGCCTTACTTTCCCTGACGATCCGTTTAGGTGAAACCTAGGTAGGTTTGTCTGGCTCACTAGGTCTATCTATCTATCTATCTATCTATCTATCTATCTATCTATATATATATGAAGATAAAAGGTAGGGACATTAAAAACGGCCGACCAGGTTATTTCTGGGAGATAGTATTTTTAAGGCAAGGTTTAATTATAATATAATTATAGTTCTCGATATAAGGAGATGAAACATTAACAGAAATAAATAATTGAAATCTTCACTTATTTTGTCTTTACTCCGAGTACCGGAATACCCCCCCAAAAAAATAACCCCCCCACCAAAAAAAAAAAACGGAGTAGAGACAGAACCAGTCAAAATTCAATTTTATTAACTGTACGTACAAGCACACAGACAGACAGACGCACACAGACGCACACACACACACACACAGACGCACACGCACATATATATATCTGCCAGACTTCATGAGTTCAAGCGCCCTACGAGGCTGGCATCCCGCTCTCACCCCTTCACTGTCGAAACTCCTAAATGTAGCCGTCACTTCTACTCTAATAGCTTCATGTCTCGCACCTCTCGCCTGTGGAACTCTCTTCCCTTCTCCTGTTTCCCTGTGAGTTATAATCTCCAGTTATTCAAGTGTAATGTCAATCGACATCTACAGTTGCCTTAATCTATCTACTACCCTCATCCTTTCATCTATCACTCCTATCTGATCTTCCTATTTTCTGTAACCCCTTGCGTCCTAGTGGCTTCCCGCCTTGCTTGGGGTGAAATGCTTAAAATATATATATATATATATATATATATATATATATATATATATGTGTGTGTGTGTGTGTGTATAGAGAGAGATAGAGAGAGGGAGAGAGAGGGAGAGAAAGAAGTGGAAGGTGGTTAGATAAGAACAGGGATTGATTTACCTATTTAGTTATGATCCCATTTTTTTTAGTTAACGTGAGGGAAGTAGTTTTGCTTAAGTTTATACAAGCCTTATTTTCATAGAATGTATTTCTCGATTTCAGTTCTGTAATTGTTTACCTGTAACGCTTTATTATTATTATTATTATTGGTATCAAAATCTATAGTTGAACAAAGAGAGAGAGAGAGAGAGAGAGAGAGAGAGAGAGAGAGAGAGAGAGAGATAAATATGAACAGACTTAGAAAGAAAGAAATAAAGATAGATAGATAGATAGATATGAACAGACACACACACACACACACACACACACACATATATATATATATATATATATCGATAGATAGATAGATAGATAATTTATCACTGAGAAAGATAGATAAGTATGTACCGAGATTTTTGGCACATATGTTTGTTTACATAGATGTTTGCTATGCGAAAGGCAGACAGGCAGATAGATAGATAGATAGATATGAACAAAGAGAGAGAGAGAGAGAGAGAGAAGGGAGAGAGAGAGAGAGAGACCGAGAGAGAATAAATATGAACAGACTTAGAAAGAAAGAAATAAAGATAGGTAGATAGTTTTGAACAGACATAAATAGATAGATAGATATATAGAGAGATAGATAGATAGATAGAGAGATAGATAGATAGATAGATAGATAGATAGATAGATACATAGATAATTTAACAATGAGAAAGATTGATAGATAAATATGTACTGAGGTTTTTGGTACATATGTTTGTTTATATAGAAATTTGCTATGCGACGATAACGTTCGCGGAATAGCAGACACAGGTCGTAAATTCGTTCTGCGGTTCTATGACGTCATATATGACCACGTGAGTGAAAGAAATGTTATCAACAGAACATAGCAAACTTCTATGTAAACAAAACAGGATATCACCTTTGACGATGGACATCTCTGTTGTAATATCCATATAAACACTCTGATGATGGCTTATGTGAGTCAAAAGCTTAGATCTACGACCAATATAACAAAGAAATATCCAAATGTTGGACAGTTTTTGTCTCTATTTTCTCTTGAAACCAAAGCCATTATACGATGCTTGCAAAGGCTCATGATAAAATATAATAGACAGAAGATATTTGTGTTTGTGTATGGCTGTCTGTGTGTGTATGCTATTTATGCACGTCTACATTTTTCGACCGATTTCAATGAAATTGCACACACATATTGCAAATTTACTAAATTATGTCAAGACCATCGTTTTAATATGCATCCATCTCAGGTTTGGAAGAAAAATTGATAAAACTGAAAGTGGGTACGACTTTTTGCAAAACCCAAGGCAAAGTTACACGCGAACAAAATTTTTACAGGTTGAGCTTATGGTCTTGGCACTAAATACAAAACATAGCACATGTTACGAGGTTAACGTAGAGTGCTTGATAGTTTTCCTGCGACATTGATTTCACACAAAAAATTGCAAAAACTTTGAAAAAATCGTGTTTTTCGTACTACTTAAAATAAAAACTTGAATCACTTCCTCATTTTTTATCCGATTTTCTTCAAATATGTCGCAAAAAATTTGCCATCATGCAAGAAATAAGATAGTATGGATTTAGACCTTCTCGCTTCCCCGTGTATAGCAAAAATCACGAAAAACTATTCAAAAAGTCCGTTTTTCGGCCATAACTCCCTGGTTTTTCATCCGAAGCTTTTCAAATTTGCCATGTAAATTACAGATGACACACAAATTGACTTGCATTAATACTTTGGTTAAATTATTTCAGTTAAATGGACGAAATTTGCGTCAAGCTATGTCCAAAATTGGCTTTTGCCATTTAGCCAGTAGTTTCTTCATATGATTCCATCCTAAATTGGCATTTGGACAACCTTTGATGTAAAAATTGTTTGAGAAGGATTATTGAAACGTTAATCTCTTATTAACCGCAGCTTTTCAGTAAAAGTGCAAAGAAGGAGGGTGACGTCCGACAATTATTTTAAGACATTTTTATGTTTATACATTCTTTTTTATAGATACAAAATATTTAAGTAAATGCTCTGTTTATAATAAACAGTATTAACAACATTTACCGGCCTGAATGTCCGAGAAATTGTCGGCCTTTGTCCATTTCATAATGCGTGACGCCATTTGTTTACATTTGGATACGATTTGAGCAGATATGAATGTACAAGGAAGATTGCAGTTTAAAAGTAGAAAATCGATCTTGCTAATCGAACTATCCTCTGTGGCTCAATCGGTTAAGGCACGTCAAGCTATAAGACGGTTAGGATACAGGTTCGATTCCTGCCGGAGGACGAATATTTTCTATGAAAATTTCTCGAACATTCATACCGGTAAATGTTATTAATACTGTTTATTATAAACAGAGCATTTACTTAAATATTTGTATCTACAAAAAGAACGTATAAATATAAAAAAATAATTGTCGAACTTTGTCCATTTCAATATATATATATATATATATATATATATATATATATATATATATATAAGTCTAAGTCGTAATGCGTGGATCTTTCAGTCAGCTTCCTGCGAGGTTGGTCTCCGAGCACACAGCTCAACTCTGTCTGCGTCTGTCCGCGTCTGCTGTCTTCTCGGAACTGCCCAACTGCCACTGTCTACTCCGTTTATATGGATGCCGACCAAAACCGGGTGTGGGCTTGTCGTGGTTTGGGTTCCTCGATAATTCCAAATCCACAATAAGGATTTTCTTTGTTTTCGGACAGGAAAATTTATCACTTTCCATTTTTGGAAGTCCATTACTTTCTACTTTAGGGGGGTTCTTAAGGGTATCGTCCTCCCAAATTCTTCCTTTCTCATATTGGTATCTCACACCAATCCCCTCAGAGGGCGTCAATAGGTTTCCCTTTTTTCTCATAGTGGTATCTCACACCAATCCCTTCAGAGGCGTCAACAGGCCTCCCTTCCTTCTCATATGTTTACCTTTACCCACCGCTCACGCCACCACTCAGCCAATGAACGCTCGGCAGCGTGGGTGTGGCTAGTCTGGCCTCAGTTTACAATTATCGCTCAAAGAAAAAAAAAGTTATCTTTTTTTTTTCTTTTCTTTCTTTTCCTCGACCAGTCCCATACGACTCGTAGTGTGGTCCTTAATCTCTATCTTAACCGAATGTCATCTGGAATTTATCAACGAGATTTTCATCAAATGATTATCATCAGAACCTCCTTATATCCTTAACGCCTTCGTACTTTTGTCGCCACAAGTCTGTTCAGGTAACAAACTTTTATCATGTCCAGGTCTGGACATAAAACAGGTGTCTCTTCCCAAAACCAAATGATAACTCCGAAAGATAGTTAATGGTTTATTCTTTCCCTTTTTCTCTTTTCCCTTCCTTTTTCTTTGGGGGTGGTCCCAGCTGATATTTTTTCTCGGTCGCATCCGCGACCTGATTACGATTATCTTTTAGCATTTCGCCCTGCGAGCCACTTGACCAATTTGAAATTTTCATTATTGCCATAGGCAGATTGCTATCTTTTATTCGCCGCGTCATAGCATAAATTAATTACGACAGATCCGAGATCTTTCGCGAAAAAAAAACAACCTTTTTTTCGCAAATGAAAATAAAATCTTTACCACTTTTCTTTGTTAAAAAAAAATAACATCCCTCAGTATGTCTTTCGTGATAGCTTCTCGCTTCTAATTTTCACGCTACCGCTAAATAGTGTCACACGTAGACTGATTTGTTTCTTACGCTACATGAACATTTTGCAGTTTATTTAAAGCCAGAATTTTTTTTTGTACGAAATAATCATTTGCTGATACAAGTCTTACTAATTAATTCATAGCTGGGAGGAGGAGAGGTGGATTCATACACTTCCCAAGGATATTTGTTCTTAACTGCATATAACGAACCCGACTGGAACTCGGATCTCCGATTTACTA